AATAAAAAATTTTTAACTTTTATATCAAATATAAGAAAAATTTTTCCTAAAAAAAAAAATGACTTTAGTATAGTAAAAATGGTGCTTGAATAATTTGTACCGAAAATTGTAAAGCCGACATCATAAACAACATACATTTTATAAATTATATTAATTTACTTTACTAATGAGCGATAAATATCAACTCAACCAGACGGTCTATTAATAGCAATAATTATAGTATATTTGAGTGACAAATTCAAACAACCTTTTTCATCAGACGGAATAATATTTTCAAAGTGGCGACAAATTCAAATAAAATGTAAATTATTAAGCAAACTGGTAACGTGTGAAATGCATAAGGCTTAAGAATGATTTCAACGCTCTGTCCTATTTAATTAGACAAACTCATTGAAACAACGTTGTCAGTTTGCTTATGAACTTATTTCTAATCAGCGGAACAGGAAAAAACACAATTGACTGACTATTGAGTGAGATAGGATTTTTTCAATCTTTTCATTTGGCCGCGCGAGTCAAATTTTCTCATGAAGTATATTAACTGTATTAAACATTTATGATTCTTCAATTATATACATTATGATATATCAATTCAATGGACAGATATTTAAGAAATTTAATACTGAAGTCAATAGTTTAGGTGTTCATAAGCAAACTGGCAACATGTATTCATAACTATTAAGAACGTTTTTAATGTTTTGTCCTTTTAGATTTATGAATGCAGCGTTGCCAGTTTGTTTTTGATCTTATTGCTATACTACAGGCCACTCAACTGAGTGACTATAAGACAGGATCCTTCTATCTTAATATTTGACCGCCATCTTGCGTTCTCTCATACAGTGCATTAATTGTACTTTATAATACTTTGTTCGACCGGTTATTTGAATTGTTGTTCTTACATTTTACCTTGATAGACTTCAGTATTAATTTTTTGTTTAATATCTGTTAATCGAATTTATTAAATAATCAATGAATTTGTCGCCAATTTGTTGTGTAGTTTTCAAATTTATTGCTCTAATATATTATTTTGAAGTATGACAATTTTTATCATTTAACATTATTTCACAACCGCACATTTTCACCTGTCATAAATAAAAACATGCTAATTTCAGAAATACTGGTAAAAAGTTGTTATCGACTAGTCATTTTCTCAATTAGATTATTTTCCATTTTATAAGCTAGTTCAATATATTTATTAAAAAAAAAATAAAGGTGAACTTAAAAAGTATTTAACCATTACTCAAAAAAAAAAAACATTTTTTAGATTATTATTATTTTAGGATAAATTTAGTAGTCAATGATAAATCAATTAATCTGCCAATACTAATACAATATCCTTAAGCAATTTTACATTATTTTAGTATATTTACACGATTTTTACTTTAAATTTTTATAAATTTATTAAGTTTCAAACTTTGTAAAAAATAATCAATATTTTTAAATTTTAATTAAAAATTAAAAAAAAAAACCCAGCACAGGGGGGTCGCGGCACAGTGGTGACGTGGCATAGATGGATCAAGTATAATGATATCTGACAGTGATTAAAATCACTATAAAAAAAAAACGCTTCGATGCAAATCTTTAGATAGTGTTTAATTTTAAAAAATTGATGGATTATTCCAAAAGCTACATGATCTGCTAGTTCATTATTAATATCCTAATTAAGATAAAGTATGTCGAATGAAAAAGGGATTATTAAAAAATATTATTTCTTATAAAAAAATAATGTTGATCCATACACTTTTAAATATGTCATAGCATTATAAAGTTAAAAAT